AGTTAATTTCAGCTGTTGGAGCACAGGTGGCCTGTGGTTTGGAGCTTTAACACTGTGAGAAGGGTGCACTGGTTGGGGCAGTTTAATGAGATTTTTGTTGGTTGTTTTTTTTCCTCCTAACTCACTAGTACAGGTGAATGCACACAGACCTGGTGTTCCCCTGAAAAGTCAGCCTCTTTTTTTAACAAAAATTGCATTTTGGTAAATATTACAGTGAGGACTCGCTAATCCAGTTTTACATTCACAGTGTGACTTATTTCTAAAACAGTTGAAGGGAGGAGCCTTGGAAATGGAATCTCATAACTTCAGGTTTGCCCCTCTCTCAGATGCAGGGAGGGTTTTAGAGCTGGGGGGGGAGTAGGGAATGGTGCCTGGGGAGGGGGGGGGAGAGGAAATCACCAGCTTGTTTGACTTCACAACAACATCTTCAAAAGTAAAGTTTTCAAATAATAAAAGTAACATGTTTTTTTCCAACTTTGTACATCAAATCAGTATTTGTTTCATTAACCAAAACCACACTGAAGATGAGGAATGAGTGTCCTTAAACCCACGGGAACTGGAACCCTCAGTGTCACTCCCTGGAGGTGCCAGATTACAACTTTCCTGTAGTGCTGAGTAACCTAAATTTTAAGGTAAACCTTTAGTTATTTGGTAAACTTTTTAAAGCTGCAGCTCAAAGATTAACTTGACAGTAAAGTCCTTTCATAAAGGCACATTGGGAGTATTTTGGTACTGAAGGTCAGAATGAAACCAGTTCTCTGAACTCGTGTAAAATACCTGCCTGCTGGAGGTGGGGAAGGAAAACAAGGAGCTGTGCTGAGCATTTACAGGCATGGATTGAATATTTGGGGTCTGTAACCATTTTATGCAGAGATGATGTGCAAATAGCAGTGGTTGAACTGTCACCCTTGGAGTGCCCTGAACTCAGGGAGCCACAGTGGACAATGGATCTCATTTGTGTAAAAAACCCCGTTCCAAGTGTAACAAAGAGTAGATGAAATAACAGCTCAGCAGGGGCAGGAAGGAAGAACAGTCTCCAAGTGGTAAAGAGGTGCCTCACACACAACATGGAAGTGCCACGTGTGACATGGGGGTGGTGGCAGCTCCTCTCTTTATCTTCCTTTTCTGCTACTCCCCTTCCCTTTCCTGTCTTGCCCAGTCCTCTCCTCCCCTTTATTTTCCTGTCACATCCCTTTCTTTCCCTTTCCCATCCTTTCCTATCTTTCCTGCCCTTTGTTGTCCTTCCCTCCTTTTTCCTGTCCTCCCCTTTATTCCCCCTTCCTCCACTTTACTTTACTATCCTCCCCTTCCCTCTCCTGTCCTCTCTCCCTGGCACACCGGGCTCAATCCCATGCTCCTGCCAAGGTGTACAAATCCAGGGAATGTCACCACTGTCACTGCTGGATCCTCCCCTGCCCCCTCCCCAGTGACTGACTGTGCAATCAGGTCTGACTCCCCTGCCCAGAGATAACTTATCAGTGCAGGAGCTGCCTCTCGAGAAAGGGAATGTCTTCGCTTTCCAAAGTCACGGAAGAAACTGGAAAAAGGGGAACTCAGTAACTTTTAGACACTTTACACAAGCCAGGAGTGAAGTTCTCCATGTCCCTTCTTCATCTCACTATTTCACAGTGAAATATCCCTTTCATTGACACCACTGCTGGATCAGGGACAGTTCTGTTTCCAGCAGGGCCCCCGTGCTGAGGTGTCCCTGCATGGAGATGAGCACAGGGCAACAACATCCTCCCCTGCCCTCTGCTCCTGACCAGACTCCCAGTAAATCACTGTGAGGACACATCCCAGCAGCTCCAGTCCCCAGGGCTGTTTTCCAGAGCAGTGCAGTGCTTACATTTTTGTGGGGAGATGCTTAAGTGGCTAAATGGGCCACATCTCAAACCCAAGAAACAATCATCCATTTCCCAGTGACAAGGACCTTTGGATCCATCTGCTCGTTCCCTGGACTGCAGGATGCTTTAACATTTATCTCTTCTCAGTAAAATACCTTAAGGTCTTAGCCCAACTATATATGTATTTGGTTTTTAATTCTTTTTCTCTCTAAAACACAGCTTAGTACCAATCTGCTTCCTACACTGCACAGCCCACTCAGCTGACAACTCCTCCAGCTCCTTGCTCTGTTTCTTCTCCTCCAAGGAACCTGCCTCAATCTGCTGGTCACAGTGATTTCACCTGTGGTACTTGGCTCCGAAAAAGCAGGTTTCAGTGACACTCTTCAGCTTACAGCCTGCTGCACAGATATTGAAAAAAAAAAACACCAAAGCAAACTCAAAACACATTTTAATTAAGTCAACAGTTGCTCAAAATCCACTTACACAACTTTTCTTCTAACAAAGAATAACAGTGTGTGTCTGTGCTTCTGTACTACTTTTTTAATATATACACACACCTCAAATATACATTTAAAGTTCTCTGGAAAAGCAAAGTCTGTCTTCCAAACTCCTCTATTCCGAAAGGCAGAGTTGTTGCAAAGAAAGAACTTATTTTTCTGGAAAAAAATAAAATAAAATAATGTGCCCAGAGCTTCAGACTCCAGTACTGCTGTAGCATTCCAGCAGACAGCACACACTGACTCCACTTTATGATCCTTAACTTTATCCAATACAGGGCTGGGACAAACCACTTCCAGCTCCCCACTCCTGTTTCTGGTTTGACTTTCCTGCAGCCCTTTTCTTACATCTCTGCTCTGACAGGGTTTAAGAAGGGCTCAGGGCAGCACAAACCCACCTGCCTGAGAAAATATTAAGAGGACACTGAGCAGTTTGACTGAAACAAAGACTTTTCATGGTTTTCCAGCAGCAGATTTTCTGGACTGGGAGAACTTGAGGCAACCCCAGCACCAGGTGGGCACTGGGACCAGCCCTGCACATGCCTCAGAGGGCAGAATCCTACAAGGATTCCTGCCAGAAAGGAAAGGTTACCCATTAACCAGTGGCAAACACTGGGGGAGAAAATAGCACACCCTGGGCCAGAAATCCCAATCTCTGGGAGCAAACTGCAGCTCTGTGGGAGCAGCAGCTGCTTTGGGTCAGCTCTGCTCAGGGCCTGGGGACACTTGTCAGGCTCCAGTGCCACACAGGGTTTTGTTGCTCGTGGTTTGGGTTTATTTTTGTTTTATTCCCTGCATCTGACACTGCAGTGCCTGCCCCCTGGGCCCAGCACGACGTGTTCTCGTGGTGGGTAAAAACAACCTTGTACCTCTGGGCTGACTCAAAAGCACTGAAAGGCCACGAGAGAAGTAAACAGCTTCCATGTGCATTTACATTTTGGATAAATGGCCGGGTCACCCAAAGGACAAGGGCTGCTACGGGAGCTGCAGAACAATGGTTTCTGAAAATGCCAGCAAAAAAAAAAGGAAAAAAAAAAAAAAAAAAAAAAGTCCCCTGCACGCTGCAGCTGGAGAGGAATTGTAACAAATAAAAGAGAAATCCATCATACCAGCCATCCCTCAGCCCTCCAGACACCGCAAAAGCAAACATTTGCTCTGCCCCAGGAGGGTGACTCACCATTCCTGAGCTCTGCTGCTCCACAGCCCTTGGCAAACAACCCACAGCCAGCAGAACAAACCACCGGCTATCAAAAGAATGATGTAGCAAAAAAAAGCGTGTCTGCGTGGAGGATTGGTGGGAGGGGGATTTAAAAAAAAAAAAAATCAAATAATTCTTTAAAATGACCCACCACTCACAGGCCCAGACTCTGCCCCAGCCTGCTCTTGGGAAGGTCAGAGCCCTGACACAGCAGCACCAGGAGCACCGCCAGGATGTTCCCCCTCTGCCAAGGTGCAATTCTGGGCCCTTCCATTCATCCTTTTCAGGATTTATTCTAATCTCAAACTATGGAGGAAACAGTATTGGAGGTAAAACATCCCAGAAATGTGAAATTCTGTTCAGCACTACCTGCTGTGCCAGGACACATCTGTGTTTGTGGGGTAACAGCACTTGCACTAAGAGTCTTCAGAGGATTACAGAGACAACACAAACTCATCCTGCTCATCCTGCCCATTAAAAAAATAATATTTTAAACCAAACCAGTTTCCCCCTGGAGAAACTCTCTGCTGCTGATAAAACCTTGAGAGCAAAAATAAACAGCTGCCAAGGTCATAATCACACCGAGATCACAGCAGAGCTGACATTTATAAGCAGGTTTAAGAGCCAACTCCCCCACTTTGAGCTTCCCGATTTCAAACACTAAAAATCCACGTTACACAAACAATTTCACTCGCCTTTCTTTCTTTTCATAGATACCTTTTCGCCCTCTCCTTTGAGCACACACCAGAGGAATCAACATGTAGAAAAACAGGTATTTATACACCAGCCAGAACGCATCCCAGGCCATCCAGGAATTCCCACAGCAGTGTCAGGTGCACTCAAAGACAAGCATTGCCCAAGCAGAGCTCCCAGGCCTGTTTGAGTACCAGCCATCAGTGACAGGCACCTCAGCACTGCTCATGAGCCTCAGCCTGAGCTCTGTGTTCACCCCAGGATCATCCTGCTCCTGCAGGATCAACCTGCAGGTTCCCATGGAATGCTGAAATAACCCCCACACCGCACAGGAATCCACATTCACACCTTGCACGCTGTGCCAGTGCCTCACCACCCTCCCTGTAAAATATTTCTTCCTTATATCTGGTCTAAGACTACTCCACTTTACTTTGAAACCATTGTGGCTTCTCCTACTTTAGCAACAGGCCCTGCTAAAAACTTTGTTGCCCATGCAACCAACCCACTGATGCTCTCGGGGGGGTAACTGCACTGCTGTGGGGAGAGAGCAGGTTCCACTGCACCCTTCACACACAAATATTGAACCATGAGCCGCTTCTGACACAAAACACACCACTGACTGACGATGGACACAAGTGTCCTGACACACAGTGCCTGTGCATCCACAGAAAGCCCATCCACACCTTCTCCAGGCTGTGTGCCCGGCAATGATCCTTCCCATACATCCACACCTTCTCCAGGCTGTGCCCGGCAATGATCCTTCACATCCACACCTTCTCCAGGCTGTGCCCGGCAATGATCCTTCCCATCCACACCTTCTCCAGGCTGTGCCCGGCAATGATCCTTCACATCCACACCTTCTCCAGGCTGTGCCCGGCAATGATCCTTCCCATCCACACCTTCTCCAGGCTGTGCCCGGCAATGATCCTTCACATCCACACCTTCTCCAGGCTGTGCCCGGCAATGATCCTTCACATCCACACCTTCTCCAGGCTGTGCCCGGCAAGGATCCTTCACATCCATCCACACCTTCTCCAGGCTGTGCCCGGCAATGATCCTTCACATCCACACCTTCTCCAGGCTGTGCCCGGCAATGATCCTTCACATCCATCCACACCTTCTCCAGGCTGTGCCCGGCAATGATCCTTCCCATCCATCCACACCTTCTCCAGGCTGTGCCCGGCAATGATCCTTCCCATCCACACCTTCTCCAGGCTGTGCCCGGCAATGATCCTTCCCATCCACACCTTCTCCAGGCTGTGCCCGGCAATGATCCTTCCCATCCACACCTTCTCCAGGCTGTGCCCAGCAATGATCCTTCCCATCCACACCTTCTCCAGGCTGTGCCCGGCAATGATCCTTCCCATCCACACCTTCTCCAGGCTGTGCCCGGCAATGATCCTTCCCATCCACACCTTCTCCAGGCAATGATCCTTCCCGTTCCCCGCTCTGCCCGGCCAGCAGGAAGGAACAGGTTCCCACCGAGCGAGCCTCCTGCGAGCGGGGAGGATGCATTTCTGGAGGGCTGGCTCCCGTTCAGCAGGGAAATGTTTCCCTTGGCTCGCCGGAGCCGCCGGGACCGCGCGCGGTGCGGGGCCGGAGGAGCCAGATTTCCATCCATCCCCCCCCCCTCCCCATTACTCTTTTTGATTGGCACTTTAATGAGGGCGCCGGGGGTCGACCCCCTGCCAGGGGGCCGGTTCATGCCCCGTTTATCTCACAGTCCATGTAAGACTAAAATAACACGCCAGGCTGAGTTTCACTGGCTTGTGATCCCGCAGCCCACCGTGATGGATTGAGTGACTGCAGCAAGTTGGCAGCTAAAGTGTGTTGTAACAGTATCTTTCTGTCAGCGCAACACAATGGATTTGCTGATTCCCGGGCTTTTCCCGGTGTTCGCCGTTGCCATCGGCTCGCGGTTCCCCAAAGTTCGTTTTCCAGGGGGGCCGCGGAGTGATGATAAATAACACACCGAAGGTTACGCCGAGCTTTCCTCCTTCCCCCTGGGCTGCCGAGGGAGGAGGGGCTCGGTGCCAGCTTCGCTGCACGCACAGCAACAGCCATAAATCCACTTGCTCCTCCAGAAAGGAGGGGAGGGGGCAGCTCCACTGCTCTTTCGTGGAAGCTCGTTCTGCTGGGCCAACTCAAGGCTTTTCACCGTGAGAACAACTCAGCACCAGGGGTTGCCTCGTAAAGCAGTTCTCTCCACAAGAGCTGTTGGGTGATTTGGGGCTCAACTTCACAGGACTAAGAAGCCACAGTCCTTGTCATCACCTTACTTGTTGGCACTGTTTAGAACCGCCAAAACCATCCATAGGTGCACTAGAATATCCAAGAATCCTGTGCAAGCTGTGGATGACACTTTAGATCCCTTTATTTAATACTAAAAAAATATCATTATATCTCCTCTATAGGAAAATCTCAAACAAGAGGGATTGTTTCCCTTTAAAAGCCTGGAGTCTTAGGAAAGGGACTGAATTTTTATAAGTCATCCAAAGAGGTCCTCTACTGAGACTTATCTCTGTGCTCTGTTTCCTCAATATCCTTTCCTTCTCCTTGCCACAGATAAAGGAAAACCACACTGGGATATGAAAAGGAAGATGATGGGGGAAAAGGGGCAAGACTGAGGAGCTGCCTGAAGGAAACACAGCTGCTCTCAGTGGCAGCTCTTGACCATACAAATCACTGCAGATTTCAAGCCACAGCGCTGGAGAAGAGAGCCTCATGAGTTGAGGATCTTTATTTGTGAGAGAAGAGACAACAACCACCACAAACTGGAGCAGCAGCAGCACACGAGGTCACTAGCAGTGCAATTCTCCCCGAGTGCAGAGCGTGCAGTGATCCCAGAACTGCTCCAGAGATCCCAGCCCAGTCCTGGGCACCCCAGCTCTGCAGCCTGCACACAGATCACTCACTGAGCTTTGAACCAGCCACCTCAGAGCCTGCCAGCAACACCAGCCCAGCCCAGAGAGCAGGGGATGTGCTGCAAACACCGTTGGAAGCCTCACTGGAGCTCCCTCCACCTCCCCAGCTCCATTCCAGGTCGGATCTGCCCACAGGAGCTGCTGCAGCCAAGCCCTGAACGTTCCTCTGGGGACAACCAGACACACCTTAACACAGGAGAGGGCATCCCGAGCCTGCAGCCAGAAAGCCTGGGAATTATTGTGAAAAACGAGTGGGTGGGGGAGCTCAACGGACCAGTGGGAGGATGCGGGAAATCAGTAACACTGATTTGAATAACTGGTAACAATTATTAGATCTTTTTTTGGTATGAATCATCTCAGGGACTCATCATTTAAATGATGTCACTCAAGGGGCAGTAAAAAAATACAGCAGAAGCAGCCAGCCTGCCATGACACAGAGGGTTTGGAGCCACAACAGGATTGGCCAAACTGGTCTGGGAAACTTCAGTGATGCGTGGAAAAGGCAGCAAGTTTTATGGAGAATACACACTCTGACAGATCAGACAAGCAAATTGGTCTTCAGCAAGATTGTGATGTTACTTAGAGCTCTGCTGAATCTGCCTAAACTGCTGGAGAAGGAGTAGCCTCGTTTATCTGATGACCACTGACCTTGTCCTTGCCCCCTGTCCCCTCCCCAGCGGTGGAATTTGCATTTCAAACTACAGGTTGTAAAATCAGCCAGCCAGAACCATCCCAAGGGAACCAAACCAAACCAGAACAACACAGCAAAACAACACAACAGCCCAAACCACGCAAACAACAGAGGGAGTTTGAGCAGAGTCCATTCTCTGGGCTCATCAAACCCACCCAAGAGCTCCTGTCCTTGCAGGGGAAAAGGCAGCAGAGAGTGGTGCTGCCTTGTGCATGTCTGAACTCCTTTTATCTCCTTAAACAACTGCAGGAGAGGAAAACCTGTTTGATCAACAACCAGTAGCATCAGCAACAGGCTCGGCAACTCAACAGCAACCCCACTACAGTTTTTACTCCCTTTGTTTCTCACCTAATGGGCAAAATCCTGGGTGATGTCAGCGCTCCTTTGCAGCCAAACACTTCAGCCTGGCAGTGGCTGAGGAGCTGTATGTGAACTGGCACTCACAGGCAGTCCCAGAAGAGCCTGAGCTCCTTCCCAGATCCAAAATGTGGGGTTGGGAACCACCCCTGTGTGTGGGGCAGAGCAGGAGGCAAATCCCAAACCATTCACTGCTCCAGGAAGGCTCGTGGCTTCCTGAAGTCAGGGATTATCTCCAGGTTTATACAATGCTCTTCCCTTTTCAGACACCCAGCTCCCAGCACTTACCATCCAGAAGTGCACTGACAGTAAAAGCTCTTATTGGAAGTTGGGAGGAGGGGGGGAATCTATGAGGGAATTTTTTTTTTTTTTACTTTTTGCAGTTTTATGGAATTTAGGCACACAGAGAAAAATACAGGACCCAGATCCTGGAAATGCTGTGCATTAGGCAGCTGTTATTGCTTTCAGACCTTCCTTACCTACAGTGAGAAAAAAGGGAAAAGGAAAACTAGAGGAGAACTGGAGAGTCCCAGTTCAGCACAGGGCTTTTAGCCTAAAATCTAGGTTGAAGTAATACCAGATATTACTGTCCAACAAACCTGCCACACCACAGAACAGAAAAACGGCCTAAAAAACATATTAAAAACTTCAAAAACTTCAGGCCTCACCAACTGTGGTGGAGCAACTGCTTAAGAAGCAGCAACTTTAACTTGCTTAGAGCTTTCTGGGGAGGAGAGGGAGTGGAGGCAGTGGGGATTTGGGAAAGGTTCAAGTTCAGCTCTTGGTTCCACACACACCTCTGGAGCAGAGCCCACTGCAGAGAGGTGATGTGAGCAAGAGCCAAGAGCACCATGTCGAGTTATCAATATCTATTATTAACAAACAAAAAAAATTTAACCTTAAAGGTTAACATAATGCTGTGTTTTTACATCTGTCAGCAATTATTTGTATTTACTTGCGCTGTAAATGCAGGAGAAAAGTCAGAGAAATAAACACCAGAATTCCCACCAGTCTTGCGTTTTCCCACAAAGAATCTTCTCATCATCCCTGTTTAGACACTCTCATTTGTTCCTTGCCCTCTCCAGTGTGGAATTTCTTCCCAAGCCTCTATGACCAGAAATTACCAGTCCTCATTGTACCTTGGAGCGAATAACAACCAACCCCTCTGCAATCAGCAGTGTTAACTCCAGGGTTCTGAAGAACAGGAATCAGAACTATAACAATTTCTTGGATTCCAAAGAGCCCCCTCTGCAGTCCCTGCTCTCCCCTTGGCCAGGCTTTACACTCCAGCAAACAGGGAGGCAGGGACAGCACGGGTTGTGCTCCCAGTCGTACTCCACCTGTGCAGCGCAGGGTGAGGAACAGGTTAGCTGGGTGAAAAGTTCACTGCAAGCTGAGCTGTCTGTTTCTCTTGCTTAATTTATCCGATATTTGGCTAACCTTGCTCTGAACCCAGCCCCCAAGACCCCCTTCCTCTCATCCCTCCCCAGCGGGTTCATGTCAGCCAAAGACACCGCCTCTAATTCCCTTCTCCCTGACCCTGCTCAGCGGAGCGGGGGCTGGGACACAGGGCCGAGCACAGAGAGAGCCCTTGCACTGCACAGATAATCATTATTTATGCTCCAAACTTCAACGGGAGCAAATAGAAAAGCCCTGCAGTCAGCAACACTGCCTGATAACGGTGTTTGAGCTTATCGGGCTTCCCAAGGTTGGATGGCACAGCCCCTGCACCCTTCCTCCTCCTCCTCCTCGTCCTCCTCCTCATCCTGTCACGCTTCCAAGGATGCAATGCTTCCTAAAATAGTTAATAATGGATCCCTGATCCCCTCTGGCAGCCCTTGCCAGGGCACTGGCATCCAGTTCCCACTTCCACGATCTCCAAGGTGTCAGTTAGCCCACTCATGTCCATTATCCCGTTCCTGCAGCTCAAGATCCTGCAAAAGGAACCCGACAGACGTACTTACATTCTACCAAGCACAGAGCAGCAGCTGCAGTGACACAGAGACCCAAAGGGTTTTTCTCACCCCCAATCCCAGCAAAATCAGCGGAGGAAAGGCTGGGGGTAGGGAGATGTGCTACTGCTGCTCTTTGGAAAACAGGATTCCCTGACCCACGGACCTTTATGCACCCAAAGCTGCTCATCCTGCAGAACACAGACAAGCTGCTGAGCAGTTTCCCTTTCACTGATGATTTAAAGGTTTCCCACCCACCCAACCCCTGTACCCAAAAGGTGGGCGACGCGAAACGAACCCCTCAAAGTTCCCCCTGCCCTGCAGGGCACCAGTTTGACCCCCCGGTGAACAACCCTGGCCACCACCTCTCGGCCCCGCGCGTCAGAGCCGTGCCCCGGTGATGCAAACCGCAGGAAAAGCTGCCCGAGAACAGGCGTTCCTGGCAGGCTCTCCGTGTTTTCCCGCTGTGCTCAGCACTGCTCCCAAACACTCTCCGGGGCAG